ATGTAAGGATGACACTTACTTATCATTGAACTTCTCAAAACATTTGTCCATGAAAGTGGACATCTCCTCAATTATCATTTCCCATCCAGGGTAATTAATTTTACTTGCCGCTGGTCTTGGCTTAATTTTATCTTCCTCATTGACTTCAATAATTTCACCAACTTTATGACTCTTTCTTTTACATGTTGTAACAAATTTCCTATTACGATCAGCCCTTTATCTAACCATTTTAGCAATGCCAGTGCTATCTGCTGAAGGCTCGGCTTGATTAGCACTTTCACTGCTTCCTATGACTTTAAAAGGTGAAACAGTTAAATCTATTATTGTTGTCTGACTCACATCAACTTTCTCTGCTTGGTCCTAAGCCTCTTCTTTTTGTAGAGCCACTGGTGAAATAGTTTAATATCTTCAGGCTTTATAGAGATAGGTGCGTCAAATTCTGTACCATTTACTTTCAATATAGCTGGAAAGTTGGACTTAAGAAATTTTTGTATTGTTTCAACTTTTCTCTCTAAATCCTTAAGTTCAAACACTACATGCTCTAATGATTCAACTCGCCACTCTAACAGAATAGATGTTGTTTCAACTTTGGCAAGCCTGGTAATGAGGATTTTATTCGGTGATATCAGCTTTGCCATGTACTGACGATCCTCATCTTCTAGCAGTTTGGATAGGTTGATTTTTGGTTGGTTGTCCTCTTCGGGTGGTGGGGTACCCGATTGGGGGGGGGGGGCGGGCTGGCCTGGGGGGGGCTGGCTGTCCTTTTGGGTGGAGTGGAAGTCATTGGGGAGCTTTTGGGCTGTTGGATTTTAATTCGGACTTTGGGGAAGGTTCTATTGATGTAGGGGGAGCCTTCCGTAAAAAGGATATCCTCCTCAGTTATTTGTTCAAATTCTTTTAATATCTGCAAAACACTATTTTTTAAAAGGAGATAATATATACATTACTAACACAATTCTGATGCATACCCGTACGTCATCAAGTGATTCAAATAATCCATCTAATTCTTTCTCAATGTACATTAGTTGGTTGTCCCACCGAGCAAAACGAGGTCGTAACTGCTCATCCGTTGGTGTGTGTATTTTGGTATGTTCGAGGAACCATATCTGCACCCATAACAAACATTCCTTTAGCCAATTAATCATATTTATAGAATGACTAACTAAAATAGTATGCATAAGATGTACATAAGATTTATACTCACAATAAGAATTGTTACAAAACCTTTAATATATCCTAGGGAAATTCCATTCATATAATTCATGGCAATCGAATCAAATTCTTAGACAAGGAAGTTTCTTATAGTTAAAGGCTAGTTGTAAGTTAAGAAATCATCAGCATTGTCTACAACTGTCAGGATACTTGAAGGTGCTCTGAAGTTCTCAAGGGGAAAAATAGATTGGACAATAAGAATTTAATGAAATGTGCAGAAGTTCATGTACTGGGGTGTACTCCTTCAAACTCTGAATTTCATGTATAATATTGTTAGAAGTTACCCCACTTATCCTTCCACTCCCAACCACAAATTTTTTACTACTATTGGGTAGTCCAATGATGAGAGCTACATCATCAGAAGTGAAAGGTAACTTATTTCCTTTGATTACGAAGCACTTCTTCTTGAAATTCCATTTGGTCAGCAACATATGAACAAGAGGAACGTTCTGACGAAAAGCATGCAATAAGAGGAATTGATGAAGCTACAACGGCTTCAAAACATCAACAAATTCTTGGCCGAATGTATTTCTCAAATGATCACAAACTTGTATAAACATAGAAGCTCTGCACCTAAAATAAATATTTGGAAAATATCCCTATAATTTTGGAACAATAGATAAGTATTTAGAGATAAACCTAGCAAAACACTGGATTATGCAGAGTACTGAGTACAATACCGAGCTGTGTACCGAGTATAATACCAAGCCAGCGTAGTACCGAGACTTTTACCGAGTATGCTATGGCACCGATCAGTGTACCGAGCGGTACCTCGCAGTGTACCGAGTAAAATACCGAGCAGTTCAGAGTTCGAAACTGCTCGGTGCCATGCACAATACCGAGTACGGTACCGATTGGTAGCGAGCGAACAAAATGAGAGCAGAACGCTAGATAAAAAAATAATGCAAGCTGAAAAAGAGAAAAGAATAAAATACAAAACCCTAAAGCTCGGTACAAAATAACGCAAGCAGAATAATGTAAGCTCGGTCGGTACCATGCAGAAAATCGAGTCGATACCGAGCGCACAAAATGAACCCTAGACAAAGCATTTCCCTTCCATGCATAGAATAAGAATACAAAACTCTAAACCGACTTACAAAACCATAAAAATAAATTCCATTTGTGTGACAAAACCCTAAAATATACTGACTGTAGTACTGAGCATGGTACCGAGCTACAAAAATTTATAGAAAAAACTTCAACTGAAGCAAGAAAATATGAACCTTCGGCATAGCTTCGGCAATGAATATGATGAGGAAGAAACAGATTTACAAATGAAGATGAGCAGCCGAGCTTAAAAGAGGAGAAGTAAGGTCAACCAAAAGGGAGCGAGTTTTAATTTGTAACGTTTAAGAAAAAACGTAATAAAAGAATGACTTTTTACCTTCAGTCCAGGTCGGGTTGTCAGGCCGCGTGGTAAATGGAAAAGCACGTGCAAAAAAAAATCTAGCGGGCGCGTCGGGTCGTTGGGTCGCAATGTGGCATCATCCTATTGGATTCCGAATGTATAGATGCGTCCAATGACCTGACCCAATAATTTCCCATCGAGATAGAGGTGTTGGCTAGAAGGATTGGGTGTGGGATCTTGCTGTTGGGCTGGAAGGTTGCGATTATGAGGAAGATCATGCTTGTAGGGGGTTCGGTCAGTAATTCTTGCAGGTTAATCGGCTTCAGCGTGAGATAGAGGGATTAGCATGTTGTCTGGAGCTCGATTGCAAGAGGGAGGCCAGTTGCGAGTTGGGCGAGGGATTTGGGAGGTTTGAACATCAGATCAAGCGAATTGAACAGAGGAAAGCTTGCAATCGAGCATTGGCGTATACTGGATCGATCGATCGGAGGAAGACGAAATTGGCTACAGCTTTGTGGAGGTTAGATTGAGTGGCTCAACCAGATGAGTCAAGTTTGGTTTGGATGCAGGTGGAGGCTGAAGATCGGGATTAGGGCAGAGAGATCTCAATGCAGGTCGGTAATGAGGAGTCTTGGGATTTGATGCGGTAGGGAGGACATTTGCTAAGGGCTTTGATTTGATTTTAATTTTTTTTTAACTCCTATATTGAGGTTAACACTCCTCAGGAAAAGATCGAAGGCGACAAAGGTAAGTGGGCCAAACTAATTCCTTCAATACTTTGGGCTCTCATGATAATTGCATCAACAGTAACAGTTCATATCCCTTTCTCGCTCTTACATGATACAGAGGAATTTCCCCCCAAAAAAAAAACATGATACAGAGGTTGTACTTGACCACTACCTAGACTACCACTGAATAGGAAGCATCCAACCAAGAAAGCCGCCATCACCCGTCGATCACACCACTGTTAGACACCACCACCACCAACCGTCGCCATCAACCACCACCAATGCTAGCTGCCACCTTAACCGCTGACAGTTGTCTCCACTCATCACCACCGCACCATCCATCGGCCACCACTGACATCAACTGTTGCACCATCCTCTACTAGCCATCACCCCACCCATCTACCAGCTATTGCTGGCCGCTATCACTCACCACCGGCAACCATCTTTAAACTTTACACTGCTTTTTTAGCCAACTAAATAACCCTTCATTCTATTTACATCAAGAGCTCTAAAAAGATTTCGTAGTTACGTCTTGAACCAGAGTCTTGGTCAAGCAAATTTCATTGAGTTCTGCTCGAAACCCCTCTTCATTGACAAGCGTTCAATTTCATCGAGTAAGCAACATTTTTTCTTTGTAAATTACTAGCTATGTTCATTATATCAAAAGCCACTTCGCTGATTATTTCGTCTGGTAATTTGTCTCTTGCTCAAATCTTTGATTCATAGTAGCATCAATGATTCTGCAAAAGCCTGCTATCTAACTACGCTTGTTGTCAGTTATCTCCCCGCTGAGGAGAAGATTTTATGAACGGCTAGCTAAGGTCAAAGCTTGTTGAAAAAGAAGGCAAACCAATTAGTTATTATTTCAGTATCATTTCGAATTTCTTGCTTTTTGGGCCATAATCGGCTATATGTAAAAAAAAATAAAGTTTTTTTTTTTTTTTGTGTGACAATGAAGCACTGTATTTAGGCCAGTGAAAACCCCAGTCGACCTAGCATGCAACCCACACCAATTTACACGGGACAACACTTAAAGCTTTCACTGCTTGCCAAAGGATTCGAACCAGGGACCTAGACTTTTTCCGGCCGTCTCTTCACCACCCGAACAAGTAACGGTGAGTAAATAAAAGAAAGTTAAATTCCTCATTGATAAAGCTACTAACACACCACTACTCCGGACTCAGGCACCCAACGTGACAGATCTGCTCCACTCGACTGATTCTTTGTCATGCCAGCAATTCCTTTAATCTCAGCCATATACTTGTAACAAACCCATTTTTTTACAACCGTTTGATTACTTTACGCATCTCTTTTGCTATATTTATGGCAGACGTATGCTGCTGTAGTTAATGCTTATGGAAATACAATATTTGCCTTGCCTACAGCTCTGTTCTGCTTGTCTCTCCAATGCTATCAAAGCTGTATTTGTCTTGTCTTATCTCAAGACCTTAAGTTTAGCCACAACAGCATATCAAATTATAGCTCGGATCATCACTATTAGGTTTAGTTTGGGATAGCTTTCTTAATGCTTCTTAAATCAGCTTTTTAGTAAGAAATTAATTTTTTTATTAGAAAGTTACTTTAAGGAGTAATAAAACTATCTCAAACAAAACATTAATCTATCAGTTCTCCAAAATCCATTCATAAATAGTGAGAAATAAAAAGAAAAGAAAACCACATAAATCAATATTAGTTAGAGACTACTAAGAAAATCATGCAATTCTACTTGGGATATATTTTATTAATATGAAATAAGATCAACTGTACAAAAAAAAGCGCATTAAAATATGCCATTTATTCAACATAATGACAAAATAATTCATATAACTGATCCAGAAAGTTCTACAGCTCCTGTAAGAATGGAGAATATGCAATTACATTATATGCTGACATGGTTAACTTACGAGGAAAAAAAAAAGAAAAAAATTTGGTTTAGTAACACTGCATTTAGGAGAATTCTAAAGTGCTAGTTAACCGCTGCATAAGCTGAGATTTAGGAAGAAATCAATTTTATCCTTATGTTCCGTGAGAACACTTAAGAATTACCTGATTTTGTATTCTTAGAACTGTTTGTCACAAAGGATTCACCACAACCACACTGTCCTTTTGAGTTTGGATTTACAAATACAAATTCAGACCTGCAAGTTAACATCAATTTGGTCAGAAAAGGAAAGGTAAATTCAATACCAAAAAGAAATATAAACCTACTTCAATGTATCATCCACAAAATCCATCTTGGTTCCGATGACATGCATCAGAGCTTTAGGATCAATCAATATCTTGACACCCTTATCCTCAACAAGCTCATCAAATTTTCCTTTGTCATCTGCTGGAAGCAATGTAACAGGCAGCTGATTTTAGCAAAAGCATTCCTAGTTTAACTAGAATTTATGTAATGCAGGCATCTGAGAGTATGAAAACAGAGAAAACCAAGTTTCATTTGTACCTCGAAGGTCGTTACCATAACAAAATCAAGCCTTTATCCTACTAAGTGGGGTTGGCTGCATGAATCATTTTTTTTCCGTTATGTCATATTAAGAATCTATTTCTCATTTAAATCTAATAAAGAATGATCATTTTTAATATTTTGTAACCAAGTCGTTCTTAACTAAAAATGTTTAATCTTTCCCTTACTGTGTATATTTGATTATAAACAAATAGAAAGGGTTAAATCAGTTTAAATGAGCAAAAGTAATCATTCCAGTTAACAATAAAATGAAATGACTTCAGCAACACCAACATTGGAATGTTTACTTAAATTGCAATTAGTTCTTATTTTCTGGCCAAAAATTCTCTTAGCCCAGTAAATTTTTAAAATGTGACTCAGCTCCCAATGTTTCAGAAAAAACCAATTTGTTCTTTTCGAGTTGCACGTATTATAAGCAAGGTTGTGAAAATCGAACCGGACAACGAACCGGAAGAGGGAGAGGTTCACGGTTTGACCGGTTCGATTGGTTGAACCGGGGTCGAACCGGATGACGTAATAAATAATAATATTATTAAAAATTAATAACATAAAAATCATATAATATAAGTATATGAGCATTTAATAATATTTAGAAAATTTTAAAATATATAATAAAATTTTATACATATAAATATCACTCGGACCGGTTCAACGGTTGAACCGCCGGTTCAATCCGGTTTGATCTGGTTCTATGCAGAGCCGGTTCTGATGCTGGATCGGACCGGCCACCAGACCGGTTCACGGTCGAACCGGTTGAACCGGCCGGTCCGGACCGGTTTTCAAAACCTTGATTATAAGTCCTAAAGTCACGAAAGTTTGATGGAATCCTACATTATAATTCCGGTATCTTATTTATGTTACTATGTTTTCTTTCACGATAACTTTTATTAATAGAAAACTCTATCAAAAGAACGCTAAGTAAAAGACAAAAAAATATAAGCCCTCAGCAACAATCACTCTGTTCAACTTGGCCAAGGAACTAATATGCTTCCGTAGTTGTTCATAAGGCAATCATCCCAATATTAACTTTAAATTACTCACAATGCGGGCACATGACAAGCTCCAGATCCCATGAAAGCTTCATCATAGCCCAATGTGCCACCAAAATTCCCTATCCTACAACAACAACAACATCATCATCAAGCCTTTATCCCACTAAGTGGGGTCGGCTACATGAATCTTTTTTCTCCATTAGATCCTATTAAAAGTCAAATTCTCATTTAAATCTAATAAAGAAAGGTCATTCCTAATATTTTCTAACCAAGTCTTTTTAGGTCTACCTCTACCTTTTTTAACATAAGTCAAATGTAATACCTCTACTCTACTAACCGGGTCATCGGAAGGCCGCAGTTTTATGTGACCAAACCATCTAAGGCGACTCTCTCTAATCTTATCTTCTACTGGAGCTACTCCAACCTTTTCATGTATATGCTCATTTCGTATCCTATCTCTAAGGGTAAAGCCACTCATCAACCTGAGCATCCTCATCTTTGCCACATCTCTGCCACACTTAACTTAGTATTATGCTTCTCTTTTAATGGCCAACATTCAGCACCATAAAGCATTGCAGGCCTCACCACCATCTTATAGAATTTTTCTTTAAGTTTGAGGGGTACTTTCCTATCACACAACAAGCCCAATGCATTCCTCCACTTCAACCATCCAACTTGAATTTTGCTAATAATATCCCCATATATTTCACCATCACTCTGAACACAATAGATCCAAGATATCTAAAACGTGTACTCTTATTAATGACTTGATCGCCCAAAGTCACAATCCCCTCACTAGGTCTATTACTACTAAAATTACACTCCATATATTCCATTTTAGATCTACTCAAGCGAAAACCTTTAGACTCTAAATTTGATCTCTATAATTCAAGTTTACCTTCAACTGCCTCTCTAGTCTTATCAACAAGAAGAATATCATCAGCAAAAAGCATACACCAAGGTACATCCTCTTGCAAATGTCTAGTGAGAACATCCATGAATAAAGCAAAAAGATATGGGCTTAAGGCTGATCCTTGATGTAACCCAACCAAAATAGGGAAATACTTGGTCAAACCACCTTGTGTTTGAACACAAGTAATAGCTCCTGCATACATATCTTTAATGATTTGAATATACACGTTATTAACTCCTTTCTTTTCAAGAACTCTCCATAGCACTTCTCTTGAAACTTTATCATATGCTTTTTTCTATATCAATAAATATCATACACTTGCATATCTAAACACTAATTCTTATCCCTATCCAAGGTAAAAATGTCAAAGGTAAATTTAAGAAAAAGCCTATCGGAGTACCCAAAAAAAAATTTAGGGTTTAGCCCTGGAATAAAAAAGTACACTAGTTTCTTGATAATATTTTTTTACTGTACACGATACATCTCTGTACATCTGTATAAAATATTGTCTAGATTCTTAGGGGAAAATTTTGTTGAGCTCAGAAATATATATATCATCATCAACATCATCATTATTATTAGCCTTATTCCAACTAATTGTGATTGTAGTAATAACCATCACACATATAATACAACATCTGTCTGACTGTTGGAGCTTCCTCTCTAGACTGAATGCACCAAATTTCAAACAAATGAAAGGCATTTGTATATCCAAAAGCATATTTGTCTATTTCATCATCAAAACCGCAGCTATTCCCCAAGTGAGCAGTTGGTGGTCAAGATTTGAAGGGTGCTCTAAGCATCAAATTAAAAAAAAAACACTCTTTTGCCTCAAAGAAGAGGCAATACCAGTCGTTTTCTTATACTCTTTAAGTATACATTCATAACTATTATTCTATATTGCGCGATGAAACTCTCTTCTAAATCACCTTACAATCTCCGCAACCATCTTAATGCTCACCAAAGTTTATTTTCACATACCATATCTTTCAATGGATATTAGTTCAACACTTCAACTGCCCTTTATATATGATTATTCCTTTCTTTTTTTTTTTTGGTCAAACATCCATCTTATTATTTTTATTTTTTATTTACATTCAACATAAATTATAAAGTCATTCTGAATAAATGTTTATGTATTCAATATCATTTATTAGTTTTGACTTTAATATGAAGGGATGGAATATGAAAAATAAAGTAAAATATTCTCCTAAGATTAGATGGGAGCATTTGAAGAATTTTAAATGTTACTAATAAGAGATTTGAGAAGAAAAACTTGACTTTATTCATTACTATCTTCCCTATTTATAGATCTATACAAGATATCTTAATGAGGAAATAATATATTACATAAAATTTCTAATAAAATCTTTCCTAAATTCGTTCCTTCATTATAGCGTGATCCATGAGAGCATCCCACGGATTGATCTCTGTGTCCGTCGGATCCTTTGCACTAGGAACGGCTAGATTTCAATATGGCGTGATCCATGAGAGCATCCCAAGGATTGATCTTTATGTCTGTCGGATCCTTTGCACTGGGAATGGTTGGATTTCAACACTCCCCCTCAAGCTGGGAAATATGGACTGTCATTCCCAGCCTGTCAATCATTCTGAGAAATACAGAACTGTCCAATCCTTTGGTAAGGATATCTGCGAGTTGATCCTTTGATGATACATGGTTGGCACTTACTAGACCACTGTCTAGTTTTTCTTTAATGAAATGTCTGTCCACTTCTATGTGCTTGGTCCTGTCATGCTGGATTGGATTGTGGGCTATGCTGATTGCTAATTTGTTGTCACAATGTAGCTTCATGGGCTCATCCCACTTAATCTTTAAGTCTTTTAAGATTATTTTGATCCATCGTAGCTCACATATTTGCAAGGCCATAGCTCGATATTCTGCTTCTGTACTGAATCTTGCCACCACATTCTGTTTCTTGCTTCTCCATGTAACTAGGTTCTCCCCAAGAAATGTGCAGCATCTAGAGGTAGATCTTTTGTCAACAGGTGATCCCGCATAGTCAGCATTCGTGTATACTTCTAGGGTTATTCTGCGATCTCTCTTGAAGAGAATCCCTTTTCCTGGGTTTCCTTTGAGGTAGTGTAATATCCTGTCAACTGCTTGCACTTGAACCTGCTTTGGATTCTGCATAAACTGACTGATCATGCTTACAACAAATACTATATCTGGTCTAGTGTGGGAAAGGTAAATCAATTTTCCTACAAGTCTTTGGTAGGCTCCTTTATCCACATCTGGATCTTCTCTAGCTTCCCCAAGTTTAAGATTATGTTCAACTGGTGTCGGTGCTGGTTTATAAGCTACTTTACCTGTTCTTTCAAAAGATATTTGATATATTTTTGTTGTGAAATAAATATTCCTTTGCTGGAGTGAGCTACTTCAATTCCGAGAAAATATTTTAGTCTATCAAGTTTTTTGATGTCAAATTTCTTAGTAAGAATTTTTCTTAAACTAACTTTCTCCTCTTCGTTATTTCCAGTCAAGATAATATCATCAACATATACGAATAAAATTGTGGCTCCCCCTGAGTTTGAATGTTTAAAGAATAATGTATGATCCCCTTGACTCTGTCGGTACCTATTAAGGAGCATGAATTTAGAGAATCTTCTAAACCAGACCCTTGGTGATTGTTTGAGCCCATATAGAGCCTTTTTTAGTATACACACTCTGTTACCTCCAGTTTCTTCCTTAAACCCCGGTGGTATTTTTATAAATATCTCTTCCTCCAAATCCCCATGTAGGAATGCATTTTTCACATCCAATTGCTCCAGATGCCAATTGTACTTGGCTGCTAGTGAGAGTAGTATTCTGACCATATTCATCTTGGCTACGGGTGCAAAAGCTTCTTAGTAGTCAATACCATATGTTTATGTGTACCCTTTTTGCCACCAGTCTTGTCTTATACCTTTCAAGTGTGCCATCAGCTTTGTATTTTACT